AAACTTACCTTTAAGCGAAAATCCTCCATCTGGCTGCCATTTTTGCTGCCTGGTAAGTGAGGAAAGGGCGTGAAAACAGTGCGGGTGGCCATTTTTTCCAGCGGCCATTTTGGAACCACCGATCATCTGTTTTTAAAACATCGTTAAGCGAAAATTGGTAAGCAAAACACTTACTGATCATCACAAAGCAATGTTTGCCCATTAAAAACATCGTTATGCGAGCACTTTTGCGATCACAAAAACCTCATCGCTATGCGGATTCGTTGTTAAACGAATTGCTCGTTATGCGGGGCACCACTGTATTTATTTTAACATTGCGAGCTGCCTTGTCCCTTTGTTGGGAGGAAGGTGGCTTACAAAGGATATACAGGCATGCAGAAGACAACTGCAACACAACAAAAGTGGGATTATGGTCCAGGTCCCAGGCATGGCTAGCTTCAACATGTAATTACAGTATATCTGTTTTCCTTACCAGTGAATTTCTAAGCCAGGATGGGCAAAGTGTAACTCAAGGCTATTGTGTGCAGTGACAAGGGACATTTTTGTGAGCACCAGGGACTTCTCGGAGGCCCCCAAGTAACTTCTTTTCTGCTCCTTGGCTTTGCGGCAGCACCAAGACTCTTTTACCCCCCCCCCCAATGAACTGGAAATGCCTGTTCAGACACTTTTTGGTTTTTGTTCCCCCTTTCAAAGTGGCAATTTCCAGTCACTTCTGGGTGTGAGGTGGCCTGTGAGGTGGCCTGAGGGATTGGGTTGAGTCCCTAAGCCCTCGGCATATTGTCCATCCCTTTTGTAACTTCTGGATCGCCCTAACCCAAAATACTTAGGCAGTTGTTCTTGTTTTTAAAATATAAACCTACTGGGATGGGGGGATGTAAAGTGACATAAAGTATCTAAAATAAATAAAGATAAAATGAGGCATAAATAAAACAAACTGGCCATATTTTGTTCATTACACTCCCAGAAGTCCTCCCCCACTTTAATTTCAAAACAATGGCTGCTCCAAGGGGAACTTTGTAGTATCATGCAGAGTTCAAAAGTCTGTTTTAGACTTTGGAGGCAATTATAATATCACCATAATTTACTTAAGTGAGATGCAGTGACAAATTAATGACAAAAACAAGCGAACAGAAACATTTGCTTTGAGAGTTATGCTTACTTCAAAAACTGCCATGTTTTCTCTTCAAAGGATTGAACGATGAGAGAGAAGGGAGAGCAATAGCTAAACAGGAAGCATAACTGTGACTTTTCAGGGCCAGTTTTGCTTTAAGCAAAGTGACAGCTCCTTTAGGCTAGCATTTGTTCCTCTGTTTGATGCACTGAGGTGGGGAAAATTGGGTTACTCTTTTTTCTGGTGATCACACGATATACAGTAGTCCTTCTATATGTGCAGGTGATCTGTTCCAGGATCAAGCACAGATATCTGAAACTACAGATATGGGGGAACCCATTAAAGAGAGTGGGTGAAAGCAAGAGGAGGTAAATGTATGTATGCATTGAAGGCTGGGTTGCAACAGCAGTGACCACAGATAACTGAAACTATAAACACCAGCTGTGTAGATACAGGACTACTGTAGTCACCACAATGGACCGGTTTGCCTCCAGAGCACCCCAACTCACATCTTTTTGAGGGCTTCTACTTTTTGGGTGAGAGTTTGGTGCACTCTAGTTTAGTGTATTCCCAGCATGTGATCGCTGGGGGATTAAAACCGAGCCTTGCAGCTGTCAGTGTAGCTGCTTGAACCAGTAGCAAATTGAGTCAGCTGCTTGAACCAGCAGCAAATTGTTAAGTGAACTAAACCTTTCTCTTAAAACATTTTCACTTCCAAGGAAAGCAGGGATGGTGCTTGACGGATTTTATTCCTACCTCCTGCACCAGAATAACTTTCTTTAACTTTGGGTAGTTTGTACCTTGATTTGGTTGAGAGGATGGTGCTATTTACTGCTAAGATAGCAAAATGACCTGGACCTCCAGGACCTGTAAAATGTTCCCAAGCAAGGGAAATTAAGATTTCGTTCTACGTTTTCTTTTCTTTCTTGTATTCTATTTTAAATGCAAAAGATCTATTTCTTCAAGCCTTCACAGACCCCTGTGAGGAGGCCATGGCCCTCCCAGGGGGCCCACAGACCACAGGTGGAGACCATCTTGACTGCTGCTGTTGTTGTTGTCAACATTCAGGCTGCCCTTTGCTATGTAAAACTTGGCATCCTTTCTCCTGCTGCAATGTGGCGATATCGGGCCATTTCCTGACATTTTGAATTGTGAATACAGAAGCACAATATCCAACATTCATAAAGCGGATGTGTTTTGAAATAATGTAATTGAATCATTTACAAGAGGGTTATGCAGGGTTGTTGTACAGGGTATGATCATACACATATATCTGTTGGTGAGTTGATTATGTACTTTTCATTGCTGACTTGCTGTGATATGGAATTGTAAATGCTCTTGCTGTCTTGCAATCTACATACAGAAAATGTTGAAAACATCTTATAGATGTCCATTTTTTACAAGATTCTTTCCTTTTTTATTTCTTGCACAAAAATGTCATAAATTTTTTTTATGGTTTCAATTACAAAGTTTACAGAGTGAACCAACATTCATGAAGCATGACAAGGAAGTTTGATCTGGGAGGGTCAGAAATGAAGAAGCCCTAACCACTTACTGTATATACTTGAGTATAAGCCTAGGTTTTCAGCACAATTTTTTTGCTGAAAAAGCACTCCCCTCGGCTTATACTTGAGTCAGTATCAAAATTCCGTTCCCCCCTGCAGTGCGGGTGTTCTCTGGACTCCACCGCTCATCTACGGGCACCTGCAGCCTCTGTGGGTGGTCTGATGAGCCAGGTTAAATACGCAGTGAAGTGTCTTGCAGATCAGAAGGGCAGTATCTTCAAAAACATTTAACCTACTGATGCCTCAATTAATGTAATTTTATTGTTATCTATTTTTATTTTTGAAATTCACCAGTAGCTGCTGCATTTTCCACCCTTGGCTCATACTCGGCTCAATACGTTTTCCCAGTTTTTTGTGGTAAAATTGGGTGCCTTGGCTTATATTCGGGTCAGCTTATACTCAAGTATATACGGTACTTCAAAGGTTGTCCTAGTCCGGTGCAGATACAGTACAGTATAATGAAATAATCAAATATGTAGACAACAAAAGAGAAGGGCAGGCACTGTATATAGTGAAATAATTGTGCAATTTAAGCAAACTGATATTTAAAAGGATACATCTTATAACCAGATTGTTCTACTGTAATGGCATATACCAGTGGTTCTTAACGTGGGCGATAATGCCCCCCCCAGGGGGTGATTTCATTTTTCAGGGGGGCGGTAAAACAAAAAGGGGCGGCGTCGCGGTGCTGGAGCAGAAGGGGGGGGGTAGGGGGTGCTGGAGCAAGCCAAACCTGCGAAGATGGCTACAGCCTTTTTACAATGTGCATAAATATATATTTTCCTCCAATCTTAATTTAGTTTCAGAGTTTTCGTTTTGAAATTTTTAGTTCCTGCATTGCGGTTTGTTTTTATGCCCTTTTTATATTTCTTTTTGTGTCTTAAAATTCACTTAATAAATAAATAAATAAATAAATAAATAATCACCGCAGGGAGGGGGGCAATGATAACTTCCTCAATGGCTCAAGGGGGCGTTTCTTTCAAAAAGGTTAAGAACCACTGGCATATACAATAATCTTTCGGTCTCTTTTTAATTCTTGTAATGTTATTTACAGTAAATTAGCTCTACTGTTAACAAAGAGAGACTGAAATGGTTTATGTGTCAGCTGCACCAATTATTTATTTTAAACATTTTAAACTTATATTTCATTTTATTGATTTACCATAGGGGTAGTGTAAGATGCATTTTACACAGGATGATGGAAGGTACAACTCTCTTGGCTCACAGTTTCAGAGAAAGAATTTTTAAGTGAGCAGATACCAGTTTGGTAAAATTGCATTAACACCACCAAGCAACCAGATAAACAGTCTGTTAATTTATTAGTGAACACAGTTTTCAAAAATAAAAGAACACATGTATTTTGGTCACAAGTGTTACAGCTTTAACAGAGCAAAAACTAGAATAATATATTTGTTTAACTCAGAAATATATTTTCACTTACAAAATACATAGTATTTACACATTTCACTTATGTTTGCTCATCTATAAAACAGAAAATATGCAGCTTCATTAAAATTCAATTGAATCATGTTATGCAAAATGTATTTTGATATGTAATTCACTCAATCTGAAAAAAATGGAAATCACAATATTTTCCCCAGCAATGTGGATATCTAATTGCACCACAACCTAATAAGAACACTTTCCCAATTTTTAAATAGTATACCAATGGACAATGTAATGCAATACATACCAAATAAATTGTTAGAATAATGCAAGTACTTGCAACAGAGCAAGTAATTTTTTTTCAGTTATCAAAGTAGTTGGAAAGTCAGAAATTTAGGTTGCTACATATTAGCTACATATAAATATAGCAGAATGTATAATTAAATATTTATGAGAATTATGAAAGATACATATTTAAAATATTTATATTAGCTTAAAATGTATATGGCTACTATTCCTTTTATGTCTCCTCATGTACTCAGAGAAAGCACAGTTTTCATCCCAGTTAAGTAAATTGTAAGGCTTTTAGATTACTATACAGTGGTGCGTCGCTTAATGAGCGCACCGTTTAATGACGAATCCGCATAGCGATCGCATTGCAATGTTTTAGGGGGCAAAACATCGCATTGCGATGATCGGTAAGCGCTTCGCTTACCAATCTTCGCATTGCAATGTTTAGAAAACAGCTGATTGGCGCTTACAAAATGGCCGCCGGATCAACAAAATGGCTGCCCGCAGCGTTTTCACACCGATTCCTCGCTTACCGAGGCGGCAAAAATGGCGGCCCTATGGAGGATTCCCACTTAGCGGTGAGTTTTCTCCCAATAGGAACGCATTAAACAGAGTTTAATGCATTCCTATGGGTGCCCACCCCCCCGCATAGCGACGAATCCGGATAGCGACATTAATCCTGGAACGGATTAATGCCGCTATGCAGGGCACCACTGTAGAAGGAAATTAAAGCTTAAGTACTTTTCCTAGGAGCACTATTGTCTTATAGCATTAGAAAGACTATGAAATTCTATGGTAAAATGTAATACCTAAAATTGGACAGATATGTCTTTCTGTTACAATTCTAGTACAACTGATGAATGAAATTTAAAAGAATGCCTATACTGTAGTATGGTGCACACCATATTTAATTTAGTTTGATCTTCTACTACTTAAATTTACTTACTAGTTATAAAGTATGGCTTCATTTTTGTCTCATTTCCAGTGTCTCATGCAGCTGAACTTTCTTCTGTAATGTATTTTAGAACAAAATTAAACAAAGTTTAAACATGGAGTAATTTCTCGGTTTAGGAGCTAAGAACAGCTTTTAGAAAATGGGTCATAAAACAGGATGCTTTTAGCTTTATCCCTTTCTCTAGAAGCAGCAGCAGACTTGGGATCATGATCTGTTCTACCTCAAGTCTATACCATGCCATTCAATAACTATGCAATGAGCTTGAAATGAATCGCTTCCTTGGCAGAATTTATTGGCGTCTTCTCCTGCCAGCACTTTATTAAGGGAATAATCTATTCATCATTTTCTCTCATACTCCAAATGCTTGCATATCAGTATTCTGCACAAGGTAAACTGCTAATGCAAATATAAATTCAGTACATTCAGTCCACTTGAGCACTGATCCAAAGCAACATTCAACAATAGATATTAGCACTAACCAATATCAGAATCAGCCTGGATTGCAAAGTTTTGCTCTGTTAATGGAAGTAACTTCCTTTCACAGCAGGTGAGCTGAGCTCACATAAGAGCTGCTTCTGTGACTTTAATTCATTGTTATTAAATCAAACCTCTTTCTGTTCATGAAGCATAAGTTAAGGATTCAAGTCAATGAGTTTTTAAAAATCAATTTTGTTGTCTCATTTAGAAGTCAAAAATTTCTCTATAATCAATAAAAGAATCCACCCTGTAATTAGTTTACACCCTCTCTTATGTTCATCTCTCACACAGATATAGAACACCACATGGGAGAAAGGGGATTCTCACAGAATTTCAGCAGGAAATGGTTTCTGTACAGAAAATACCTCCACTTGGGCTAAGGTAATACAGAGACATGTGTAATTTGGGCCCTATGAACTAGAGGAGAGGAAAAGGCTGCCATTCTCAATGCACCAACATGACAATTCTCCAAAACACAAAATAAGACTTAACAAAATCCTGAAATGTAATACTGCCCACTGAATAATTTAGCAATTATCAACAGGACAGAATTCTCAGCATCTTATCTGATGAAATATAAAGACTGTATGAATTCTACCAAGAGAACTGTTGAATTTCTGAGTTATTTTTACTGCTCACCTCAAAAGACAAATCCGGAGGGATAAGTACAGTACACATACAGTATGTTACACTTGTACTCTAATTTAACAAAGCCAGTTTTTCGCGTTCTGTCACACTGTAGTGTGATCAAAAATAGAAGCCAGCTAGCTGAATACTTGTACTTTTCATGCCAGTTGGGCTATGCAAGCAGTGATAAGCTTGATTCAAAATAACTAAGGTCATAATAATCACTGAACTGTGTTTTATCCCACTGTCCAATGGTATATCTAAGTGTGTCCCCTTGCACAGGTAAAAACTGACATTATTTTCTCCTGTATCTCTAAATTCTTGTCCCTTGTAGTACAAAACCAAACTTGCTCTTCACTAGACATTAGATTGCTTGATTTTCTCTGAAAGAGATACCACATGGAAATGCCATGTATATTTGGTTACAGTGAGTGTGTATGCTTTGCAGGTGTTTCCTCATGCATGCAGTGGATCCACACACACAACACAGACCCTCCCTAAGACTCTTACCCTCCTTTTGCACACATCACATTTTTTAAATTCTGACAGGCATGATGCTATTAAGCACATATTAATCATGTGAAAAATAAGTAAAGGTGAGTATTGTTCAGTACAGTATCTTAAAAGCAGAGCTGCATAGTCCATAATTGCACCAAATGCATGCACGTCCCAAAGGTTTATGTCAACAGCTTCCTGTAGACACTGTTCCCAAGCGTACTGCTGCAAGTGCCCCTTCGACTGGTCCGCGTCATGAGCTGGTCGCTGGTGCTACTGTTGCAGGGCTCAGAGTTTCCTCTGCAGCACAAGAGATTGCGAAGGTGTCGCTGGCATTCAGAGGAGGCGTAATAATAGATCAATGGATCGATGCAGCAGTTTATACTGCTAATGCAGAGGCAGAGGAGGTAAGCAAAGTAGATGCCTCCCGAGTAGGTTTTGTAAGAAAAATGCATGTAGTGAGCCAACAAGAGAACATTGGTTGGACCAAAGCACAATATAAAAACAGAGAAAACCGCTATGGACAAGAGCAAAGCCCGCCTTTTCTTACTCTGCTTTGTTGCAATGTCTGAATAACCAAGACATCGGATGATACAAATATAGCAGATGGAACAAACAATCAGTGGCAAAAAAAAGAAGAGTGAAGAAAAAACGGTGAAAAAAACAAGATAATACCCTTTGAGCTCCTTTTCATTCAACACATCATAACAGGTTGTAATATTTAAGTGAGATATTTCCTGAGTTTGTTCAGTAATGAGCAGAGGTATCACCCCAGCAATGGCTACAAGCCAAATGGCGACACACACCACAGAGGCACGCCTCATGGTGCGCCATGACAGAGACTGCATGGGGTACACCACTGCCATGAAACGATCAATGCTTATCACCATCACCAGCAGTACGGAGCAGTACATGTTGCAGTAGAAGGCAGCGGTGACTAAACGACACATTTCAGGTCCAAATGCCCAGTTGTTTCCAGAAAAATGATAGACAATCTTAAAAGGAAGGATGCTTGTGAAGAGTACATCTGCAGTGGCCAAGTTCAGCATGTATATTACAGCTGGCTTTTTCATCTTCATTTTTATCAGGAACACAAGAATCGCCATGACATTTAAAGGAAGGCTCACAATGACAACCAGAGTGTAGACCGATGGCACAAAAACAGTTAGCCACCCACTAGTCAGGTACTGCTCGGTGTCTTTAGACATGTGGTATGTGGAGAGTATTCGTGTTCTGCTTTGATTGTCAGCTCCAGATCCAAGGTCCAAGTCATTTTCGGCATCAATGTCTTCCCATGAAATTTTCTCATATTCTCCACTTCTAGAAATGGGAAAGGATCTTGGTGGTGCCACACTATCATTCTTGGCAAAAGATCCTAAGAAATAAAACTGTGATTATTAGAAGTACTGTAGCTTTTAGATAACACACATACTAGAAAACACTTCTGTGAACTACTAATGCCATTTAGACTTAAACTATTTAAAGACCCATACCTTTCAAAACTACTGACATCACAATCTCCTGTGTGATTGTCATGCTAATTCCTTCCCATTGCCTTTTTCATTTGATTTCACTCCTATGATTTAAGCTTTTAAACAATACATAATAAGCATAAGAGACAGACTTGATCTCATTTGGTCTATCAGATGCCACTATGGCATAATTCCAATTCAGTACAGTACTGTAGTTTGAAATCCCAACAGCAGTATCACCAAAGGTCCTAGTTTTCACTGCATATTTTTATATATTTTTCCCTAGAGTGTTTCAGTACAGTTTAGTGCAGCAAGAGTTCAACTCTCAAAAATGTTTTTCTTGCTGATTCGCTGAGGCTGTTCATTTTCCCTAGCTTTGGGAGTCATAACAAAGGCTTCAAAGATCATGCAGTGTGTTAATGTTCACTGACATCTACATGAAAGAAATTCAGCTTTGAAATGGATCAATTTGATTGGTACAGTGTTATTTCAATGTCTTACCAGAGGTATAGCGCAAAATTTCCAGTTTAAAAATATCACAAGAGATGCCCCCCAGCCCCCAATTCTGTAGTGTTTGAGAAGTTAAATATGAGTTTGGGCAGACTTGTTAGCCTCTTGGCAATTCAGTCTCTCTTACTGGGGCCAAAACAAGCATGCAGAACAAATTATGTATGTATGTATGTATGTATGTATGTATGTATGTATGTATGTATGTATGTATGTATGTATGTATGTATGTATGTATGTATGTATGTATGTATGTATGTATGTATGTATGTATGTATGTATGTATGTAAAATGTTTTTATCCCGCCTTTCTTCTTAAAAAGGACCTGCCGAGATCAGGTAAAGGATGTAAGTCCATCATTAAAAGATAATATTTAAAGCTAAAAACAGTAAGTGTAAAGATATTAGTAAGGTTCAAACGAATACCACTCTGAGAAATGGTAGACAAAAGCAATACTAAAAACACATTCAAAGCAATAAAACATAATAATCTATCTGAAATTCTCTCTCAGGCAACCAGTCACTGAGGGAAAGCTCGCCTGAAGAGAAAGGTCTGTAGTCATGCCCCACCCCCGCAGGAGAACGGGTCAAATTGGGAACAGGTGCCTTGTAGCCAAGGGGCCCTCCCGGATCTCTTTCTCTCTCTGGGCTCTGCCAGACACCTTCCTTTCAGGTGACTGCTGGCTCCTGGGTCTTCAGGCTGGCCCCTCCTTCCAAACCGCCCTCCCTTTGCACGCAGGCACATATGCAAACACTTTAAGCAGAAAACGTTTACGTTTCCCCTAACATTCGACCGCTTTCCCCTTTGAGTTGGGGAGGCATTGTGCCCTGCCTCGCACTCCCTCCAAGGCGGAGAGAGCAGGTTTGCCTTCCCACTTGCCTGCCTGCTTAGGACAGCTTGGTGGTGCTTTACCTTCTGCAGCCCAGTCTTTGTCAGTCCACACACAAGGTGTCAACGAAAACAAGAAAAGGAGCCATCTTGCAGCTCACTCTTTGGGGTGCTTAGGAAACACTGCATCTCCCCCACACACAAACTCTCTCACACACAAACTCAGCAATCTCCTATTGCCGAGACCAGGTAAAGGAAGAGAGGGCATGGTAGAAGTGTGGGGGAGAAGGATAGTAGGATAGGAGCTGCCACTGCATTTCACAAGCCATGCAAGAAGGTGGTGTTGGGAGGCTAATGTCTGGATGACAGCTTCCTCCCCCCCCTCCCCCGGTTATATACCTAAGTAATAATTTGGAGCATTCAAATGTTTGTGCATATTGACTCAGGACTGACACACACAGAGAGAGCGAAATCTCACGGAAGGACCCTACACTTCTAAATTTGTGACTACACTCATGGTAATAATACTATGAAACGTCAGTACACATCTCGTTTAACTAGTGAAAAGCAGAGCAGGGCTTCAGATTTGGGGCAGCTAACTTACCTCTCTCGCCCTAGATATGACACTTCAGCCAACATTAAAGTTTCCCCAGAAATACTCCAAAGGTTGCTATCATTTGGCTTTGGGGTTAGTGAATACTTGGATAAGCTGGAAAAGTACAGACATTTTTGCTGAGTATTATACTACTGTATATGAGATGCCAGCTTTGCAATTATAAGCAGAGAATCTTTAAGAAGTAAAGGACACTTTTTTTATTCAAGCATGAGGTGGGTTTATTTGCAGATTGATTATACAGACCAGACATTCTGAAGGGAAGCTGTTTCTGGATGGAAAAAAAGGCATATAATCTTTCAATCGTGAACCTGGCATTTCACCTCATATCACTTAAGGCTAATCTGCCAAGCACAGATAAATTTAAATTACTCCATTTTAAGTGTTAATTTAATTTGAGCAACAAGTGGCACATATTTTAAACTACTAATTGATTAAGACTTTTCAAAATTACTATGCCTTGAGAGTCTGAGAGTTTTGCGCTGAGAAAAAAGCCTAGAGAATGATGGGCAACAGTGGCCCTTTTCACCTACAACTTCCATCAGCCTTAACCAGTACAGCAAGTGGTGAGGAATTATGGGAAATGCAGTCCAAAAACATTGCAAGGTCCAGAACTGTCCATTTTGACTTCAAAGCGTTTTTCAATTTAAGTGGCCAGGTTCCAGTAGGATTCTGGCACAATCAATACCACTTTGTATATTTGTAGTTCCATAAGCTTTATACCCCCTCCTCCAACATAACACTCACTTCTCTAGAAGTTTGAAACATGGTCTGTGAGACTCAATCTCCAAATCAAAATCCTCAAAGGAAGCAAAGCAGACCTGCTAATGAGCGGCCGGGGGCTGTCGGTCTAAACCTATGATGTTTGGAGCTCCTATCACTGAAAGGGAGGTAGGAGTTGTAGCAGGGTGGAAACGATACTGGAAATGTACACGATCCCATCTATTAAAAAAACAGGTTGCTTGTTGATAAAAGATAAATGCATCCCATTCCTTTTAAGGATTTTCCTTTTACTGATGTTAGTCCTTTGCCTTTTTAAAAATGACAATTCTTTATCATTGGTTATAGCGACTCTTGTGTAAAAATAATAGGAATGTGAAAGAAAAACAACCCATGGAGAAATTAAAATTACAAAAATCATTGTAGCTAATATAGGCTTCACCAATCTTTTCTCTGAGAGACATGATTGTGTGTCTGATTCTGAAAAACAAAGGAATGTGCTTGATAGGTGAGAAGCGATTAACGGCAAAATCTGTTCCCTAAGGAGATCTGTAAATCAGCCGGTTAACTAATCCTGCACCAACCAAGCCACTGAATAGCCATTAGAGGAAAGCTCAGATGATTGATGGGAATGGCATTCATATTACAAAAGAGTGGATTAAAAGTCACATGATTTCTGGACACTCTCCGCGTATTATTCCACAACTAAACAAATGTAGACTGTACTTTGGCCATTCAACAGGGATCATAAATATGAATGGTAGAGTCAGAAACATGATCTCATTCTTGTTGGGGGAGATTTCCACACAAGTAATCAAGGCTTTCATATCCATATCTAGAATATAAAACTGGTCATGTAACAAGCACTGAAGCACACTCAAATTATGAGACTTATGTGTCTAAATATTTTTGGGTGGCTGTAAACAACACAGAGTGACATGTGCATATTGTTTGTATGACACTGGCAAGATATGATAGCATATGACACTCACCAGACATGACTTCATTCTCACAAAAGGATTACTTATCCCTATTGGTACTGAAACCCAAATACTGATATCCCTTTCTTAGAAAACTGAATGTTAAATAAATAACTATCTCAACTAAAATACAGTGACACAACATGTTATTGTTTTCCCCAATTGCCATAATTCTTAAAACATACTACTGTAGATTCCTCAGAACAGGAAACTAATTTAATTATTTATGTCCAACATGAAATCTTTGCCTCTGACAATAGTATGTTCTCTTCAGAGCTAAATAAAACCTAGAATTTGGCACATTGCTTTAGCTAGGCTTTATAATTCTATTTAATTTTAATAGTTCATTATATTGAAACTAGTCCAGGTGCATTCGATGCAGACGAGCTCTAGAAAAATGCATTTAAAGAAAAGTACATTTGGATGCAATCCTGCACACACCTAGGCAACAGTCTCATTGAAATCAGTGGTACTTCTTTCTGAGTAGACATTAACAGAATTGTTCTATTTGACACAGAAGAATAACATTCTCATTTTAATGGACAAATAGTGCAAAGGGATGAACAAAATACTGTATGATGGGAGCTCTTTTGTGGAAAGGAATAATACATGTTCTGTGCCACAGGCCAGCACCTTGTAGCATTCAGGTTAGATATGGACTATTCCTATCTTTGGGGATACAGATATGAATCATGGCACCTCAGGTGCCATGGAGACACATTCTTTCTGCTCAGAACTGGCCGGTCCACTCATTGGTCGCTCAGGTCCTTCACCATCGTGCCAATCTGAGAAGGAGCCCGCCCAATGTTTCCCCACCTCCCCATGCAGCTGACCACTCCACAGCTAAGCAGGGAAACGCTCTGTTAGGACTGATGAGGTGAGCAGGAATAATACATGTACTGTATATTTTATTTATTTATTTATTGAATTTATATGCCGCCCACTCTACCCAGAGGTCTCTGGGTGGCTTACAATAATTAAAATTCAATATAATAAAATGACTAAAATACAATTAAAATACAATTAAAATTGCCATCATCAGGACCCACAGTTGTTATTTCAATTAAAAGCCTTCTCGAACAGGAAGGTTTTGACCTGGCGCCGAAATGTCATCAACATCGGCGCCAGGCGAATTTCAGTTGGGAGGGCGTTCCATAGTCTGGGGGCAGCTGCCGAGAAGTCCCTTTGTCTACAAGCCATCCCTCTTACCTCCTTGAATGGACAAATAGTGCAAAGGGATGAACAAAATACTGTATGATGGGAGCTCTTTTGTGGAAAGGAATAATACATGTTCTGTGCCACAGGCCAGCACCTTGTAGCATTCAGGTTAGATATGGACTATTCCTATCTTTGGGGATACAGATATGCTCATATGTTCTGTGCCACAGGCCAACAGCTTGTAGCATTCAGGTTAGA